TTTTTAGGTTTTTTTTGTAATTTCCTCGTGCGTGTTTCTATGGAAACTGTGACATCACCGCAGAACCCTGAATGTCTAGGCCATGCAGAAAGGATTTTTAAAAAGAAAGGAAGAAAGAAAAGCCCCCAGATGGGGTTTCAGTGAGGCTCTAGACAGTTACCTAGCAACGGTGCTGTAAAATAACGTCCTGTTGTTGGAGAGAGATTGTTCCAGGATGTTGGGAAGGAATGCGAACAAAATCCAGGCTCAGGCGGGGAATTAACAGAGCCAAAGCTCTCTTTGTTCACTGGGGCTTGGCTTGGAGGGTTATTAAAGCCTATTAGAGAGATTAATAAACAGGACCGGGGGAGCTGAGTAGTAAATACACACATGCATGTCCCACAAGAGTAGCCCTGACTGAACAGAACAGGCCTATGTCTAAGGGATAGATGAAGTCCAGGTTGGTCAGTTCAGTTTTGGTTTATTTTTGTGCAAAGCAGGTCTAACCATGGCACTGAGGCCAGGCCGTGAGCCAACTGTGTTACACCTTAGGATTTCTTGCCTGTCTATGAAGGGATTCATCTTCCCCTGGGTTTGTTCAATACCTTGGAACTAGATTTGTACAATCATGGGGCTAGAAGAGACCTGCCTGTCTTCCAATCCTGCCATGGTGCAAATAGAGAATAACTATAACCTGACATGGGCCTATGCTGGCCAGGAGGCACAGTGTCTCTAAGCTCCCAGCAAAGCCAGGGGAACATGCTAGCTGTTGCATGCAGCAGGTGCAACATGCATCCATTCCCCTCCCTGACTGGTCCACTCTGCTAGCCACCGGAAAGGGAAAACCTAGACCAGGATATGACTTGAAGTGCCTATGGCAGCCCTCACTAGAAACACCAAGATAAGGGCATGCTAGGAAAAGGGCTACATCTAGACTGGAGGCTTTTTGTGCAAAAAGCTTTTGTCGGAAGAGATCTTCTGCAAAAAAATATTGCGCAAGAGAGCGTCCACACTGCAAAAGCACGTCGAAAAAGTGATGTGCTTTTGCGCAAGAGAGTGTTCAGACTGCCTGGATGCTCTCTCGCAAGCAAGCAGTGATTGCTATGGACAAAATGGCCACCGGGGCACCTGTGCTTTTTCTTCTTCCCTCTTCTTGCGCAAAAACCCCTCTTTCCTGTCCTCATACCTTTTTGTGCAAGAGTTCATGCGCAAAAAGGCGGTATTCCTCGTAGAAAGAGGAATACCAACTGCGCAACACCCATCTGATCTTTTGATTTACTTGAGCAAAAACACGCTTGAGGTGTAGACGCTCCACGAGTTTTTGCAGAAAAACGGCTATTTTTCCACAAAACTCTGTAGTGTAGACATAGCCAAGGAGAATAGATAGTCCCCCTGAAATTACACTCCCCATCCAGTGATAAACTGTGCCTCTGATCCTCCACACAGGTTATCAAGAAGCTAAGAAAAGAAATCACACAGCTCTCTTTATTGCATTCCAGTGCTCTGGCTCCCAATCAACACCTAAGCCCCGTACTGTGAGAAGTTATTAAAAAAACTCTGCTCACATACACAAAATGTTCTTCTGACCCAAAGGGTCAACCGCATTACCAGGTCAGTATAAGTTTGAATCTTACCCCAAATAGCTTGCTATCAGCAAATGTTTTAGAGTCTAAAACTAAAAGTTTGTTATAAAGAAAGAACAAGAAGAGAATTGGTAAATGACAAAGTGACCAAATACATACCAGAGACTTGAAAGTCCATGTATCAGTTTCTTAGTATTGGTGAGTTTGATGGCTTGAAAGTCCCTCTGGAACACATGCACAACTAGGATGGGTCACTCAGTCCTTTGTTCAGACCTTCATTTGTAGAAAAGTTACTCCAGAGGTAAAAAGCAGGACTGAAGACAAAATGGATATGATGTAGCCGCCTTTTATATTCTTTTGCCATGTGGTTTGTGCTTCCCCAAACACAAGCTTTATATAGCAGGCATGGAAAAGCCTTCGAGTTCTGTCCATAAGTACTTGGCTTGCTGACTCTTAAGATGCATCCTCAAAATTAGTTGATGACCCTTGATGGGCCATTGAATAAGCTAGGCAGTGTTGATGCCAATCTGTCTGGAAGTGTCACCCCAAAACACAGCACACATTGTGAAATACAGAAACATCATATTTGTTTATAATTCATAATACAAAGGTGATTGAAACATATAAGCTAGATTATCATTACTTGGCAAATCATCACTTTTTCGCAGATACCTCACATGGCATATCTAGTCAGATTCCTTGCATTTTTGTAATACTGGTATCAACAATATCACAAAGTGTCTCTCAGTTTTGAACAGCCTCTAACCTGGCTCCACCCCAGAGCAACTATGGGGGTGCTACTGTTGCACTCCAGTATACTCAAGTGAACATGCAAGTGAGCACTTAGAGCGATTGTGTGTTCTTCTAGTGATTGCGGCTGGCCTCCGCAAGATTAATCCTGCTCCTAGGGGACACTAAGAATTAGATTCCTTTGGCTGAAGTGCGGGTTTTGAATGCTGAAGGTTTATCCCCCGATCCCCGATTACTAGAATATCTTTACCATGTTACATCTTGGAATGGTAAGGTCCTGACATGCTGCATTGGAATGGAGCCAGCCTTCAGTGCTAGAAGTTCTTTGCTGCTGTATGTCAGCACTGCATCCAGGGGAGTCAGCTAGGATCTGGGGGCATGATGCTGTCCTAGCAGGATATGAGGAACTTCAATAGGGCTTACTCTTAGAGTCCTGCGTGAATACTAAATATGTATCCACATCTGCATCTGCAAAAACGAACTGCAGATATCCACATCCACATCCACATCCACGTCTCTGGATGCAGATACCCATAGATATAAAGCAGATATCTGCACATTTGCAGGATTCCTAATACAAAATTTGTATCTGCATCTGTAGCCGCAAATATGAGCTGCGGATTTCTGCATCCACTTCTGTGGTTGCAGATACCCTCAGATATAAAGGGGATATCTGAGGATTTGCTGGCCTCTACTTACTCATACGTAGCCAGGGAAGAGCAAGCACCTTGGATGTTGTGCGTTAGGTCTCTGTGTGCCGACCTGTAATATACCAGAAATGATAGTCATGTCTCTCTGCTGGAGATTTCCGGATAACAGTGATCTAATATTGTAGAGATAACACAATTGTGTCTCAATAGCCAATAAGTAATTGCTGCAAAGAATGAGCAGCTCTTTCTTCCTCAGAAAGCTCTTAAAACTGTGCTCCTTGGAGTGCTGTCAGGCTTAACAGCCCCATGGTTATTAAGTGCTTCAGATCATTGGATGGAAGATGCTCCAGATGAGAAAAGGATTGTTATTGCCCCTCCCCACAAGTTTCCCTCTCACTATGTCTGTGTCCGTCCCTAGCCTCCTCTGAAAGTGCTGGGCAAAGTGGTGGTTTTGAGAAGTGGATCTATACCTGTCCTTGCAGTTAGGACCCTGTTACCCTGTGATTTGTGCCTGCCTGAGAGCCCACCGTGCCTGCAGCAGAAAGCTGTGCAGTTCTATGACTGGCCTGTGGAAGGAGCTAGCACTCAGGCCCAGGCCAAGTGGGGCCCAGAGACCAGGGCACTGGCTGTTTTATGTCCCTGGCTGCCTCCTTCTACTCCTGAGCTCAGACAGTGGGCAGCATTGCCCACATGGTCCCACGGTGTCACACGAGGCCTCTTTATTTTAGCCTCTCAGCCCTAGACTCCTTCCTGACAGAGCTAAGTGATGGTTCATACAATAACAAGTGCATCTTTTCAGGGATTTGGGTGTGATTATTTGAGCTGTGGTCAGTTTCTCTAGGTGGCCAGATATCACTAGGGTAGAGGAAAGGCAGCCGCTGTCCACAGAGTCAGAGAATTGGTAGGCGACACTGTTTCTGATCTTCCCTCTTTAGGAGCATTAGCACATGTCATGTTTCCGCATCCAGTGTCAGCATGCTCTAGAGAGTTTAAGTCTTACATAGCAGCTGCCCTTTTGGCCCAGTATCCTCCCGGACATGGCATCTCATGGGGACATGGAGCTGTGGGAAGGGTGCGCACCTCAGACGTGGTCATCCAGCATAGGGAAAGTGTCCACCTAGAAAACTGCTTCCCTGACACACTGAAGGGTTCTAAGCCAGCCATGGGGGAGCGTGCACTGTGTCAGAGACTGAAGCTTGGGGGGTGATCTTGCAACTCCTGCTTCTCCAGCCAGTGCGGGCTGGTGCAAAGTGACTGCACAGGGTGAACGGTGCAGGATGAATAGAAAGGTGAGTGAAGCAGAGTGTGAGCAGAAAGGGAGCTGTCATCAGCCCCGTCGGATACTGCTGGGACCAGACCAGGACTTAGGGCAACGATAGGCAACACTGAGGCTAGTTAGCCTGCCAGATATACTTAGGAGCCATGGTGGGGTCAGAGGGTGCAGAAACACACACACCAGCAGCTCCTAGTGAGCTCCAGAGCTGCACATGAAAGCCGCCCTGCAGAAGCCATCACAGACAATAGGCGGAGCAGCCTCTCTCTTGGGTTCGTGTGGCGCTGGAATTGGAGCACCGGCATTTTCACCCTGTGCTCCCAGGTCCGGGATTGGGTTACTTGGAGGGAACCAGTGCGCAACGCCCATCAGAACACAAACCCAAATGTCAGAGAGTCGACATTATCCATAAATGCTTGTGAACCTGTCCCAGGACTCCGCCCTCTGACTAGGGATGTAAAATCCTGTTTAATTGGCTAACTGGTTAAACATGTTGTTTACCTGGTTAACTGATTAAGGAGGAGTGAGTGGGGGGGGCCGCTCCAGGCCGGCTGGACTGATTAAAAGGGGGGCACCTGGGCCCACCATGGCCAAAGGCTGCTCCAGACTGGCTGCAGCATCCCTGTCAGTGTCGAGACACACAAGGGGGTGGAGCAGCCCCCTGCCCACGGCAGGTGGGGAGCTACTCCAGTCCCCACCAGTTAATTGGTTAATCCTTTACTTCTCTACCTCTGACCCTGCTTTTCTCCCTGTTTCTCGTTCCAGGTTTATGAATCACAGAGTCCCATCCAACCGGAGATACCAGCCAACAGAGTATGAGCATGCAGCTAACTGTGCCACACATGCCGTGAGTCACCGTCACATTGTCTTGGGGACCAGGGGGAGGGGCATGTCTGGTGGGAAGGGAGAGGGGTATGGGTCTCTGCTCCCATAGTATTCCCAGAAAGGAAGGCAAAGCTGGGGTGTGCTCTGCTCCTGGTTCCCTTACAAGTGAAGTGAGGAGCCATCTCAGGTTGAATGTAAAATATTAGGGTTGCACCTTCCTAAGCGGAGCTCAAGGCCTAGAGTGTGTCCCCACTGACACCTGGTGTCTGTCCATCTAGGCACTGCACATACACATGGCCAGGATGGAGCGTGTGTGCAAGAGCTCGCTATGTCACCTTAGGTCTCTGGTGACTTTAAGGAACAGTCAAGGCTTGTTGTGAGAGGCTCTTACCTGACATAGACACGCTTGAGCAGCAGTTTGGGTAAAAGTGATCATGAAAGGATCGATTTTCTGATTCGAAGGAAAGGAAGGATAGCAGCAGAATAAAGAGAGCAGACTTCAAAACCGCAGACTTTAAGGCGGAGGTGTTTACTTTACTTTACTTCAGCTGTCACTTAATAGGTTAATGGTGACCAACTAATCAATAGCTTCAGAGGGGTAACCGAGTTAGTCTGTAACAGGGAAAACTTGAAAAACAACAAATAGTGTGGTAGCACTTTAAAGAGTAAAAAAATATGTAAATTGTATCATGAGCTTTTGTGGACACAAACCTACTTCTTCAGATGACCGGAGTGTTGGATGTCCAGAACCAAAATAAATGAGGCAAGAAAGAAGACGGTGTGGGAGAAGGAAAAATGGGAAGGGGGGAAAGACAGAAAGAGGCAGAGGGTGCCCATGAAAGCTTGTTTATTAACAAAAGAGAAGAAACTGAAGCCAACATAGGGAATGAACAGGTAAAAGAATATTTAAATAAGTTAGAAGTATTCAAGTCAGCAGGGCCTAATTAAATCCATCCTAGGAACTAATGAACTAGTGGATGCAATCTTGGAATTAGCTTCATGAACTCATGGAAGAGGATTGAGCTCCTGGAGAACTGGGGAATGGCAAACATAAGCATTTATATGGAAAAAGGGGAACAAAAAGGAACCTGGAAATTGCAGAGCTGTGAGGCTAAATTATTAAACAATCAATCTGTAAGCACCTAGAGAATTCTAGGATTAGAAGGAATCGCTGTCATGAGTTTGTCAAGGATAAATCATGCCAAACCAACCTAATTTTCTTCTTTGACAGGGTTACTGGGTTAGTGATGGTGGGAAGCATTAGACAGGATACATCTTGATTTTGGTGAGGTTTTGACACGTGACTATCTCATAAGCAAAAGCAAACTAGGGAAATGTGGTCTTCTAGATGAATGTATTATAAGATGTGACCAAAACTGGTTGAATGACCATTCTCAAAAACAGTTATTGTTTGCTGTCAAACTGGAAGAGCATATCTGACAGGGCCCTCAGGGATCACTACAGGACTGGCACTCTTCAATATTTTCATTAATGACTTGGAAAATAGAGCAGAGAGTACGCTTATAAAAGTTGCAGATGACATGAAGCTGGGAGGAATAGCAAGCATGTTGGAAGACAAGATTAGAATTAAAAGGACTTTGACAAATTGGAAAATTGGTCTGAGTTCTACAAGATGAAATTCAATTAAGACTAGTGCAAAGTACTTCACTTAGGAAGAAAAATTCTAATGTACGACCACAAAATGGGCAATAACAGGTGGCCAGGTGATAGATGGCATTATGCTGAGGGGTTAAAGTGGGTCACAAATTGAATATGAGTCAACATGCTGACGCAGTTGCAAAAAGGGCTAATGGTCTGAGGTGTATGAACAACAGCTTTGTATGTAAGATGCAGGAGGTGACTGTCCTACTCTATTTGGCCTTGGTGAGGACCCAACCAGAGAACTGTGATCAATGTGACTTTAGGAAAGATGTGGACACACTGGAGAGAATCAAAAGGAGAGCAACAATAATGATAAAAGGTTTTAAACCCTGAGCAATTAGGAAAAGTTTTAAAAACTGTAAAGGAAAAAAAAGGTTTAAAACATGTTTAGTCTGGAGAAAAGAAGGCTGAGGAGGGAGCTGATAAGTCCCTAAATATGTTACAGGCTGTTAGAGGAAGGACTGTGATTGATTGTTCTCCATGCCCACTGATGAAGTAATGAGCTTAATCTGCAGCAAAGGAGATTTACGTTAGATATTAGGAAAAAATTTCTAATCCTAAGGGTAGTTAAGGTCTGGAAATGGCTTCCAGGAGAGGTTGTGGAATGGCAGTTACTGGAGGTTTTTAAGAAAAGGTTGAACAAACGCCCATTAAGGATGGGCCAGATGCACTTGGCTCTGGCTCAGCTCAGGGATCTGGACTTGATGACTTCTGGAGGTCCCTTCCAGTCCTATGCTTCTAGGATTCTAAGCTCTTGAAAGAGGTTTGAATGAGGAGGCGGCAAACCGGAGCTGTGGCTCCGATGTTGACACAACGGGGGATCTGAGGAACTTGCATAACTGAGCTTTATACATCCAATGATCAAAGTAGATTGGAACAGGATGAGGGAGCTCTCATCCCACCAGCCAAGGAGGAGGGGAAGCTGTGTGGCAAACCCACTCCCCTAACCACTCCCTTTCTCTGATGCCTACCTGAATCAACGTTGTTTTTTCTTCTCCCCTGCCCATTTTGTTCCATGGGGTGAAGTTGTTTGCTTAGAAAATCAAAGTGTTTTGCTAAGAATTGCTCATGCTGGACACCCCTATGGTCTCCGTGAAAATGGAACATTCCTTTTTCACAGCAGGAGATGGCCGTTGTGGCAAGATAAGAGGGCCTGGCATTGTTGGGGAATGGAAGGATCTGATTGGCTGAGAGTGAGGTAAGTAAGGCAATCAGGGCATGGCATCTACTGTGAGGCTTCTCTCACCTCGGGTGCATGGGGAGGCATGAGGCCCTGCACCCCCAGCACCGGAGGGATGGGCTGTGACCTTATCACTCACAGCCAGGAGACTGAGTGTCTCCATTTTTCTAAGCCTGGAAGTATATTTTTCAAGCCACGCCCACTTTATGGGCCTGATCCCACAGCCCTGAGTCAAGAAACTCTCCCACTGGCTGCAGGAGAATAGAATCAGGCAGAGCTGGGCTTAGCTGCAGCATCGGATATTAGGAAGGTGTTGAGAGCAAATTTCCTCGTGAAGAAGCCCTTGCCTTTGGGGAATGCTTCCCCATGACTTTGAAAAGCCATTGCATTTAGGAGAATGGAGCCTAATCCCAAAGTCGGTTGAAGCCAATGGAAAGACTCCCATTGGTTTAAAGGGCCATTGGACCAGGGCCTTAAATAAAGTGTAGAAAAGGGTGTACAGATAACAGGGGACCCCAGAATAAAGAAACCTAAAGACACCTGTTCCAGGCACCTTCCCCCACAAATGAATACTCTGGGGCTCTCTCAGGAGTTAAATGAAGGAGACAGATCCTTTCCCTGGGGCTTCCCTGGAATGGCTTGCTATGTGTTGTGTCTTACAGACGGTGCATTCAATAGCAATGATCAGATGCTAAATGTCGGGAAGAACTCCTTGAGAGTCATCTCTCCAGGAAAAGTGGTGGGAGCTGCATTGCATGGGATTTTTAAAACTATACTGGGCCCAGTGCCAGGGAATGGGGCTGCTAGGAAATGTGGGGTGATAGGGTGGGTGACCTGAGAAGCTTAAACTGAGATTCCATTCCCAAAGCATTTAAAGAAGAATGCTTCTATTGCAACTGTCATTGGGTATGTCTACACAGCAGTGTTATTTCAGAGTAACTGACGTGATTGTATGGCTGCCGCTTTTTTCCGGCTTGTAGATAAGCCGGAGAAAAGCGCCAATCTGGACGCGATCCTCCGGAAAATAAGCTCTTTTCCGGAGGATCTCTTATTCCTACTTGAAAGTAGCTGGAAAAAGCCGGAAAAAAGCTGGAAAAAAGCGGCAGCCATGAAAATGAAAATGCCGTGGGGGATATTTAAATCCCCCGCGGATTTGCCTATTCCAAAGTGCTACATTTGCATCCCTATTACGGAATAGGGGCCAATGTAGACACAGCCCTAGTGTGGTTACTGAGCAATGCAAGTGGTACCTAGACCACAGCAACAGTTAAGATCAAGAGACCTATACAGCATGGGCTGGGAGCCAGCTGGCTTTTAGCTCAGAGGGTAGAGGCTCCTCTACTCAGCTCCAGAAGTCCGAGATTCAAATCTACTTGGTGGTGGTTACACTTTCTCAGAATTTGAGTTTTGTGATTGAGTAGCAGAGCCAGGAGCTAAATCCACCTCTGCAACTTCTGGGCTTTAGCCACTAGGCCATGCATTGTCCCCTGGAAGCAGTATGTGAACAGCTAAGGCAGGGCTGGGCAAGATGCGGCCCGGGGGCCGGATCTGGCCCACCTAACACTTAGATCCAGCCCACAGACTGCATCTGGCTGCTTTCTATTTATATCCTGCTGCCCATGCCACCAAATTTCCAAGTGGTGGCTCAGGCAACTGGATCCTATTTAAATGGCTCTTGGTTGCGGTGCTACGCTGGCAGGGGCCTGAACCACGAGCCTTTTAAATAGCGGCAGCAATCCCAGGTTGCTGTCAGCAATATGGTGATGGTAGAGCCGTGAGCTGTGAGTCCTTTACTATATTTTTAATTCAAAACCTCTAGTCCACGCAACTCTGGGGGAGACTAGTCTCCAGCCCCGCCCCTTCTACTCCAACCCCCTCTGGGGTTGGAGCTGACTCGTGACCACATACCAAAATTCATTAAGTGGCCCCCGTGTGAAAATTACTGCCCACCCGTGAGCTAGACCCATGGCTACCAGCCAAGAGACTAGGCCATGGAGGACCAAATGGTGGGGTTAGAATGTGATAATGCAATAGCAAGGAGCCAATCAGATTGCTTCATTTTTCCAACACCCCCTTTGAAAGCCCTAGCTGGCATCTTACAAGCTCATGTCTTCTGTATGACTGAGGGTGACCTGCTGTGCTGTTCCCCACAGGGGCACTCGCTAAGGTGTAGACTGTTCAGCAGTTTTGACTAAGCAAATTCTGTTATTTATTCCCCTTCCCAGACCCTGGGGTAAATCGGGTAGGAAGCCTCTTTTCTGCGGCTTACAACAGGATCCTCTGCTTCCTGTTTGGTGGGAATGAGACACATGAAAAATAAAAGGAGTGAAGAGAAATCACATGTAATGCCCAGAGCCCATCTGCCCTCCTCCCCTCCCCCGCTGGGAGGGGCTGTCTCTGATCTCTGCCCCTTGGGAAGGGGACCTACAGCGCCACTCTATACTCGAAAGCTTCCTGTGCCCCACCTTTAGAGGGGGCTTTGCTTGCAGTCTTCTCTAGAGGTGGTGCTGGTGTCTGGTGTACCTGTCGTGCTAAGCAGGGCCTGAAATCATCTGGATAATATAACGCTGTGTCTGTCCCAGCCTCTGCCCCTCAGCTGGACTATTTAGCCATAAATGAGGAACTATCTGACAGGAAATCAGGGGTAACAGTCATTCCCTAGAAGAATGATTCTATAAAGGCCTTTTCTAAATGAATGAGCCAGAGGTGGCCAATGGAGTTCTTCTGCCTTCCAGTTCTGGATCATCCCCAGCATTCTTGGCAGCTCCATCCTCTGCGTCCTCTCAGATGACCAGTGGGAGACCATCTCAGCTTGGATCTATGGGTGTGGCTTGTCTGGCCTCTTCACTGTCTCCACCATCTTTCACACCATCTCCTGGAAGAAGAGACACCTCAGGTAGTGCTGCCATTTGTCACTAGGGCTGTGGAGGCACAGCCAGATGACCGGGACCTCCAAGGGAAGGACAAAGATCTAAAATTCTGATCTCTTTATGAGGGCTTCTACCTCCCCATTAATCACGCCAGTACTGTGCACCCTTTCCTTCCTACACTCGCTCACTGATCACAGAGTCATTAGGCCTGGTTGAAAATGATGCCATCAAACTTTTTATTAGTTCTGCTGACTGCTAGCTAATGTAGGTGCAAGCCACTGCCCTCAGCTGGACAAGCGGGACATTGAGTTTCCAACAAAATTAAATATTTCACAAAAAATGACTTTTTCTCCTGAGGAAATTTTTTTCCCATTGAAAAGTCTATGGCCGAAAAACGAATATTTTGTAAAAACCCAAAATATTTGAATTCAGAAATGCTGCTATGGTGCCATCTGGAAGTTGTAGTTCATTTACCTGATGTCCCCTTGATGCACTGGGGCGAGCTGCACTCATCCATTTAATATACCTCTAAGTTACTTTATTTCAGTGAATCAACAATGCAAGAATCCTAAGCATTGTGGCTACGTCTACACTGGCCCCTCTTCCGGAAGTGGCATGTAAATTTCACTAGTCGTCGTAGGGAAATCCGCGGGGGATTTAAATATCCCCCGCGGCATTTAAATAAAAATGTCCGCCGCTTTTTTCCGGCTTTTAAAAAAGCCGGAAAAGAGCGTCTAGACTGGCCCCGATCCTCCGGAAAAGGGCGCTTTTTCCGGAGGATCGGGGCCAGTCTAGACGTTCTTTTCCGGCTTTTTTAAAAGCCGGAAAAAAGCGGCGGACATTTTTATTTAAATGCCGCGGGGGATATTTAAATCCCCCGCGGATTTCCCTACGACGACTCGTGAAATTTACATGCCCCTTCCGGAAAAGGGGCCAGTGTAGACGTAGCCATGATGTATTGTCTCTCCTCTCTGAGAGGAGGTGCCATGGTGCATCATGGGAGATGTAGTCTGACTAGGGAGCCTGATCCATAGGGAAGGATGGGAGCATGAAGCATTCAAACTACAACCCCTATGTTGTACCTCAGCAGAATTTCTACATCAAAATATTTTGATATTTGGACAAAGTATTTCTGTATTTGCATTTTTACTGAAAAATCACAATTCTTTATTTATAAAGTCTACAAATTCTAATATTCATTGTGAGGGGAAGGGGTTAGAGACAGATGGTGCTTGAAGCTCTGGAAATCTAAGTTCTAGCCCAGTTTAAGACATCAGTTACAATAAATCCTTAGCTATTGAGAGTTCCAATTGCTACTGTTCTGCTCTGTGTGGCTTCTCAGAGACGGCCCAATATCAAACCCTCATCTTCCCCAGGTCCCTGCTTCTCAGGAGCTATTAGTGGTTAGCCACCTGGACCTCTGACACACAGCTGAGCAGTTCTGATTCTTTCCAGTAGCAGGCAGTGGCTCACACACAGTAGCTACTTGATAGAAGAGTCAATTCAACCTGTTCCCTATGACCACTGAATCACTGGTGCAGGAAACACTTGCTAGAAGCTGAACAGAGATACTGTAGATCAGCATCAAAGTGCATTAGTGCAGAAGGGCAGAAGCCGCTTTGCACGGCGCCATAGCTAGTGTTTGTCAATGCTAACAAGTCTTTAAGCATCATTACGTCCATCTCATTGATCAGTACATTGCATCTTAGCATTGATATAGTTTCTGAAGTAAATCCGCTTGTAAATCCATTTGCTCCCTGCTGCCTGGCTCAGCACGCTGTAACTCCCGGCATGTGTTTGTCCCCTCTCTAGAACGGTGGAGCACTGCCTGCACATGTTTGATAGGATGGTGATCTACTTCTTCATAGCAGCATCTTATGCCCCCTGGTGAGTTCACTGTGTAACAGCAAGCCGATCTCTCTTCGGAGAGAGGAGAAGGAATCCAGGAAATAGTCTCACACTTTACATCCAGATTACAAGTTTTGCAAAAAAATTAAAACTCCATCTGGAAACAAAAGTCACACGTCCCACTCCTGCATTTTAGCCCTGGCTCAATGCTGTGTCCATGGCTGTGCATATTCTTTGCCTCTAAAAACCAGGCCATTGATTTTGGTGCCCAGGTTTAATTTGAGAGAACTAAATGGACACCTGGATTTAAAAATTTCAGCCTTTTTGCCTGGCCCTAGGCTGGACAACAAGCAGTTGGCTCAGAACTCAGGAATTCCTGGTGTATCGGCATTGCCAAGCCAAAACGCATGACTCGGGACGTGAAGAATCCTGAGATTGTTTTAAAAACGTGAGATCTTTTTAATTGGCCTTTAGGTTTCCTGGTTTTCGAGCTTCCTCCGCCACCACAGGGCCAAAAACTCACTTATTTTTTATGTGAAAGCTGAGATTCTCACCTCGTCACGTGGCCCTAGGAGCTGGGGCCTCGTGAAGAACATTAAATCATATAAATTGAGGAATAAAACCACGAGAGCTGGCAACAGTGGTCCGCGCTCGGTCCATTATATCACGCTTTGCTAGGCCACAGCATTCTCCACCCTCTGCTCACACAGTACCCCAGAATGGGTCATTAGCACTAGAATGCTTCAGAACTCTGCTGTGCAAAGCCGGGATCCATTTGCTTCACACACTCATCTCCAGCACAAACAGCGCAAAGCAGGCAGGCCATTGCCGACTGATCTTGCCCAGAATAAGGTGAGGAAAGCTGTTCCTTCAGCCGCGCTAGTGATTATTCCAAAACACGGCATCATAGTCATCCCTGAATAGTCTTTATGTGTAAGACTGGCTCTGCTGGGTCTCAGAATTTTAGCAATAGAAGGCTGAGAGAGCTTCGCCGGGGTGCCAGCTATGGGAGCTTCCTGTATGTTTCCTTTTTGTAGGCTTTTGCTCCTCCTGGCACTCCAGCATCTATCAGTGACTACCACTCCGCATGGATTTCAAACCTGCTGCCTCCCCTTCCCCTTGTGGCTCTGGGATGGTTTCTCATGGCCAGCTACGGTTCTTCTCTGCTTCATGATGCCTCTTTCACCTTTTGGTCTCTGTGGGATTTTTTTCAGGCTGAACCTACGGGAGTTGGGTCCTTGGGCCTCCCACATGCGCTGGATCATCTGGATCATGGCCTCTATCGGAACCATCTATGTCTTCTTCTTCCATGAGCGGTGAGTTTGTCTAACTGCTGCCAGTCTGTTTGTTATTCGAGGGGACTGCATGGCCTCCCCTTCCTTCCTTCCTTCTCCCTCCCCTGCCCTGTTTTTAATGTGAATGGGCAGCAAGGAAGGGGCAAGGGAGCCCTAAAGCAGTCCCCAGTGCATTTCCTGCACCACGGCCCCTCCCTACATTCTCCCTAGGAGGGAGACGTGAGTGTCTAGACCACCAGGTGCAGGAGCGTACTGGCAATCAAAATAGGCCCAGGAAATGGGTTGAGAACGGCCCTCCCCATGACGTCACCCCTGCGTGTCCCTCAAGCCCTGCCCCCTGCATCATGTCCAGCACACGGCGCAGGTGGCGGGTGGGGCTCTGCATGCAGCATACAGCGCAGAGGCGGAGCCACTCAGAGTGAGGGGCAACGGCGTGCGGACACAACGGCCCACCGGACGACGGCCCACCGGGAAATTCCTGGTATCCTGCCGGGCTAGCCCACCCCCGACCAGGTGCTTAGGTCCGTCATCAAGGGTATGTCTAGACTACATCCCTCAGTCGCCAGAGGGATGTAAATCAGACATACCGAAATTGCTAATGAAGCGGGGATTTAAGCATCCTGAGTTTCATTAGAATAAAAATGGTCGCCGCTTTTTGCTGCCACGGCACTTTGCTGGAAAAAAGCGGCAGTCTAGACAGGGATCGGTCAACAAGGAAAGCCTTTTCCGACCCATCCTGTAAACCTTGTTGCACGAGACATAAGGGATAGGTCGGAAAAGGCTTTCCTTGTCAACCGATCCCCGTCTAGACTGCTGCTTTTTACCGGCAAAGTGCCGTGGGAGCAAAAAGCGGTGGCCATTTTTATTCTAATAAAGCGCGGGATATTTAAATCCCCACTTCATTAGCAATTTCGGTATGTTTAATTTACATCCCTCTGGGGACAGAGGGATGTAGTCTAGACATACCCCAAGTGTGGCTTAAGTTTGGCTTTTAATCAGCCATGGAACTTGAACAAGCTGTGTGCTGCAATTACACGCAACTTCCAGTTGGTGGCAGCAGACAGCAAAAAGTGGCCTAGGCCTTTCCATCCAGGGCTGTTTTCTGACCAGGCAGAGCTCCCCTTGCAAACCACCACAGAGCCTCAGAGCCCTGGCAGGGCCCCCCAATGCTCCACGTGCCAAACACAGAACAGTTCTGACACTTTGCACTGCTGCTGGGCCTCCATCCACCACACCAAGGGTATGTCTACACTAGAAAGTTAATTCGAACTAACGGACGTTAGTTCGAATTAACTTTGATAGGCGCTACACTAGCGCTCCGCTAGTTCAAACTTAATTCGAACTAGCGGAGCACTTAGTTCGAACTAGGTAAACCTCATTGTATGAGGACTAAGCCTAGTTCGAACTTACTAGTTCGAATTAAGGGGTGTGTAGCCCCTTAATTCGAACTAGTGGGAGGCTAGCCCTCCCCAGCTTTCCCTGGTGCCCACTCTGGGCACCACCAGGGAAACTCTATTGTCCCCCTCCCGGCCCCGGACCCCTTAAAGGGGCACGGGCTGGCTACGGTGCCCGTGCCAGGTGCAAGCCTGCCAGCACCC